TCACTAGATCGTGTTTTCCCACTGAGCGCCCGTCGATAGCAGCGTGAAAGGCAGAGATAGCTGCAACATAAACCTTAAGAGTGGAGGGCATACTGCCGCCGTCCATTTGTTGTTGCAAAAAATTCAGAATGTCAGACACGGGGCAGTTCTCCGGGTCCCGACCATTCGATTCACACCATCTCTCAAACACTGCCCATTTACAGGCGTACAGGCGTCTCGTAGAAGGGGCTCGCGCCTCCGTAATCGTGTCCATCACGCGGCGAGACAACGAGCCCGGGTTTACCGGTTCCCGCACACCATCCACACCTGAAGTTTCCACCATTCGGGGTTGGGGTGCCATACCGAGCCGTCTGCCTGAGACAGGAGATCCCGTTTTAGCGGGATCGGCCATGGGGGAGCCGTTAGTATTTCCAACAGATCGAGAAACCAAGGCCTGTTCGGCCAGTACGGAGTGACTAATAACACTGACGCCTTCTCCGCTATGATTTTGTGCAGCACTTGTGACAAAATCTTCAGCGGGGGAACGCATACAGATGGGCATTCGGCCACGGCATCGTGAGTGCGTCCCCGCCTAGGGGAGAGCATGACAGAGAGAAGAACAGAGGGCAATGCGTGTTCTCTTCTGTCACGAACAAGTCTATCTCCGCTCTCCCGAACCGTTCCCAGATCAGCCCCACTGTCCCGGGGTTTAGTCTCCATTCTCCGTGAGGAATCCCGTCCCTCGATAGCATATCCGCGCCGCTGTTCAGGCAGAACATGCGCTGCTCGAATGGAGAGCAGATGGTGATCGGCCCACAGCAAAAGGCATGCTGCCTGTCTGTAAAGGGCTCTTGAGTGTACTCCGCCCTGGCGGTTTATGTATGATACCACCGACATGTTGTCCGTGCGAATCAACACGTGATGCCCCCAGACTTGCGTGAGGAAACTCTGAAGAGCCAAAAAGACTGCTCTCAGCTCGAGGCGATTTATGTGCCATGTTTTCTCCGACTCTGTCCAGTAGTCCGATGCCGGTACGCCGTCGCAGTGAGCTCCCCAGCCCGTCGTTGACGCGTCCGTCGTGACCAGACCCATCTGGGCGCCGCTTTGGTACAGGTCGGGGTTCCGCCATGGTTTCAGCGCATTCAAGCACCTGCGAGTGACCACAACGCGGGCACGGCCCGTTTTCCACGCCCTTCTCGGTACTTGTGTTTTTAGCCATATCTGGAGGGGGCGCATATAAAGCAGACCGAGGTGACACACCGTCGCAGCCACCGCCATCCATCCCAAGAGCCTCTGATATTCCTTCAGTGCTATGGGACGGCCCAGCCTGAATGTATTCAGAGCGGGCATTAAATCTCGTATGCGCTCCTGACTCAGACGCGCTCTCATCGAGATCGAGTCCAACTGCACCCCAAGGTACACGATTGATTGGCTCGGGCGTAACACGCTTTTTTGTTTGTTTTTTTGCGTCCTTCAGGTCCACCGAAATAAACCAATCTCCGGGTCGAATCTGCGCGAGTATCAGCTTTAGTGTTGTCATTTTGAAAGCTCGTTTGTATAATGCACGGTTGATGGGTCTCAGGTCTAAGATTGGACGGAGACCACCATCTTTCTTTGGAACGACAAAGTACCGGCTGTAAAACCCGCTCTCTCTCTCGCTCGGCGGGACCACTTCTATCGCGCGTTTCGCGAGGAAATGGAGAATTTCTTGCCTCAGAAAATGCACGGTTGTTGGGTCTCAGGTCTAAGATTGGACGGAGACCACCATCTTTCTTTGGAACGACAAAGTACCGGCTGTAAAACCCGCTCTCTCTCTCGCTCGGCGGGACCACTTCTATCGCGCGTTTCGCGAGGAAATTGAGAATTTCTTGCCTCAGCACCGGCTCGTTGTGTGCCGTAACTGTCGACATGACCACGCCATTGAACTGGGGTGGTCTGTGTCGAAACTGAAGCGTGTAGCCATTCTCTATTACGTTCCGCAACCAATCCGAAATGCCCGGAATGGACCGCCATGCGCTTGCAAAAAGACACAGAGGGCGGAGTGCCTCGCCCTCTGAATTCTGGGCAACGCCGCTGTATACCAGGGTCATGTTCAGAAAGCTCACGGGACGAGTGGGAGCGCTGTATGTTAGCGAGGGTCAGCCACAGATGCCGGTGGAGCACCACCATGTAGCCCATGCTCCGTCCGATCGGCTGGGCCGTCTTCTTTGTGGCTTTAAGTGCAAAATCCGTCGCTGCGCGTAGATCCTTAAACGCCTCGGGATTCGCCTCACCCTTGTCCAGGGATTTCAGGAGCTGTGCCTGAAAAACTTGGAGCACTGCCATCGTGTGCACCGCCGAGATCGCCTCTCCCGAGGCGGCTTACGCTTTGTCCGCAGCGTGTGCGGTCAGATGGCAGGGCCTTGAAGGCAGCGTAGCACCCGCCTTCAGGGAGGCAAAGGAGGGGCAGAGGTGTGCGGCGATGGATTCCTCGACGGGCGGAATGCGCGTATATCCTCGGGCTTCCGCCCCGTCGACTCTAGTGAAGATCTCCGACCCACCAGCGTGAGTGCGAGCCGATTGGGGCGCAGCCCACGCCTTAGCGACCTCGTCGTGCAAGTCGGGGAGGAATGGGGCTCGCTTCCTGGGAGCGGCAGCTCGGCGGCCCGAGTGAAGGAACCACGAATCCAGCTTGCTCTTAGCTGGTTCGTCGGGGGATTCCCACTCTAGACCGAGATCGCTCACGGCCCTGGTGAGAATCCGGACGAGCTCATCCTGGAACGCGGCGTGTCCCTCCACTTCAGAGCGCTCCTCTGGAGTGCGGGCCCAGTCCTTCTCAGACGCCTCGTCAAGATCGTCGTCGTCCCCCGCCGCACCGAACGAGATAATCTCCGAAGCGCCAGAGGCGGGTTGAAGACTCTCTTCCGCAAAGCACACCGGAGAGCAGGGGGGTGAATTGTGCCTTTCTGCGCAGTCGCCTACGTGCGGCTGCCGTCCCACCAGCGGCTCACTGGCGGTGGTGGGACGTTGCCGAGAGAAATCACAGAGGGCAATGTTCCTCCAGGCCCTAAGCACATGCAATGAGAATTCCTCACAGTGCGGGCAGCCCGACCCGGTGAGTGCTGCCGCCGCATGGGTGAGACCCAGGCACCAGATGCAGAACTCGTGAGTGTCCGGGGCCTCGATGGGTCCCGAACACAGCGTGCAAATGTTGGACATGCTGGAACGCCGAGAGGGAAATCCGTCTTCCTGCGTCTTCTCCACAGCTGTCTTCGGTAGAATGCGTGAAAGAGGAAGATTCTGAACTTATGCCGCAAATACGGCGCATTATATAGTGGCAGGGGCCCCGCCCCTACTCGCCGTCTTGGCTGGCATTGGCCAGTGAGAGTTGCAACTTCACTGGCGTTGTGCAATAAGATTTCAGGTAGGTTAGGAAGGAAGGGAGTCCCCAAGGCGTTAACGCCATGTCGAGAGACCGTTCTCGAGAGGGAACAGCATTTATTTGAAATGGAATTTTTGTAACAAATGTCTTTACTGTCACTTTTGATCAAATGAATGCATCATTGCTGTATAAAAGTACTAATTTCTTTCATTTTTTTAAATCTTACCTCACATTTTTGAACAGTAGTGTATTTCACAACCTTCAATATATAGGCTATATTATACTTCTCCGGTGTCAGAAGTCACGAGGTTTTACCTGTCTGAACGCCTCTCCGTCGCCCTTGCCAGCCTGTTGAGCGATTAGGGCGATCTTTCGTGCTTTATCCGCCCGACGGTGAACCTTGATCAGACAGGACAGCAGACACACCAACAGCAGGAACGCCAGCAAGGACAGCAAGGAGATGATCGCCACATACAGCTGTGGCAGCTTATAGGCTGTTATGCGAGAAAAGAGGATCATGGGTACAGGAAATAGACCTCAGTGTGAAAGTTATTAAAGCCTGATCCAAACTCAATCAACAGTAGCTTTTCAAATTCTCTACTCACGCTCCACGTGAAGGTAGACGTCAGCTATGCGGAAGCCAGAAAAGTCCATCACTCGAAAGACACCCATGTCACGGACTTTGACCTTCTTCAGGTAGAACATGGATCCTTCCACAGATGCTCGACCCTCAAGAGCAGAGTCGACAGGTAACGTCATCTCCCCCTGGTCCATGATGAGTCGTTCCTTGTGGTCAGTGTCTGGGATGTAGACCATTTTGACTTTGGTATGGTCCACATGAAGCTTGATCTTCAAGGTTTCACCATAATTCAAGTGCTCAAAGATCTGGTGGTCTGTGATATGGGAAAAAAAAACGGTTATACACAGATTTTTTTTTTTGCCAATTGCTTGCATTATTTTGTAAAGCGTCCTTGGGTTCTTTGAAAGGCGCTATAAAAATAAAACATTATTATTATTATTATTATTATTATTATTATTGAATGTTGAATTAATGCACCAAATTCCTATGTACCTGCAAACAACCAACAGTAATACTAATGAATTATAATACTTGGCAGAATTGACAGATTATTATTTAGATTTTTAATAATATTAATAATAATACATAATAATATAATTTTGTTCTATTATTATGTAATATATAATAGTATATATACACAATTTAATAATATTATATATACACAATTTATAATTAATATCATATACAACTAATATATGAAAATATATTTAGAATATTATATATTATATACATGTTTATACACACACACACACAGACCAAATTCCTATGCACCAGCAAACAGCCAACAGTAATACTAATAAATTATAATACTTGACAGAATTATTCATATTAATATACTGTTAATAATATTATTAATAATTTTAATTATTAATATAATATAATATAATATATGTTTTTAGTTATTATTACTATTGGTAATAATAAGTATTTATTAAACACTGGCGTCTTTTTATTACCTATGTTGAAAACAAAAATAATTGCAATTCAAAGACTCATGGTTTATTCCTTCAATAACCAGCTTACTTTACTTTAATTGTAAGACTCAAGAAATATTAAGATTTAGAGACACTAGCATGTCAATACTGTATCACCACCTTTGCGCTAGTACTCAACATCTGTTTATTCAGCTTTGTTTTAGAGTTGATTTTAGATTTATCCTGCCAAAATGTCACATAAAATTGAGGTTTTCACTTTATATGATCATATGGTTTTTTTCAGTATAAGTGGATGGTTCTTGGTCAGAATAAGCTGCAATGTGGACCAAAATTAATACTGATAGTCTAAAGTCTGACTATGTGAGTCTACGTAGATCACGTGTCCTATTGTTTGATCCTCTATACTCTGTCTTTCCTTCGTTACTTCCTCTTCCACTTCCCTCTTTGTGCTTTTACACTATTTGAAGACTTTGACACATTAGTCATACTGAAACAGTCACCTCATATAATGTACTCAAAAACACCGATTTTTTTTTTACCTTTCACATTGAGGCATGCTCTCAATCGGACTTTTTCATCACTGTCCATGACAGTGTAACTGCCCTCATCGGCTCCTGTAACCAAATGGAGGTTGACCCTCTTCTCGCCCACGGTGAGGCGGTGCTCGTACTCTTGTGTGGGGATGCCGGTCTGGTTGAGAAGCAGCACAGGCGGTTCCTCTGTGGTCTGGTTAACTGGAGTATGAGCTCCAGGCCTGAACTCAAGGGTGTATGGACCAATCGAAGGGTTGATCGGGATATGATATGTGTCTCCATATTTCACCACAGTCTCTAGAGCACAGTCTAGGAGAAAAACAGATTAGAAATACATTAAAGCTAAGGTAGGCAGTTTCTACGCTACTACTGTCATCTAGCAGAATTATGAAATTAAACCTGTTTTCAAACAACCTCTGCTGACTGTGCTGCTGTTTTGACTACACACTGAGAAACAAAAGTATAATAATAATTTTGAATAATTCTGTGTGATCTTTCAATCGTGATTCCATTAAATAATTAAATAGATATGATAAATTTTTTCATTCACTTCTATTACATTTATTTGATAGAGAAATCTTTTATAATATTACAAATGTCTTTACTGTCACTTTTGATCAATTTAATGTGTCCTTGTTGAATAAAAGTTTTTTTTTTTATCTTACCTTGAACTTGAATGCTACTTTATCATGGTTTCCACAAAAATATAAAGCAGTAAAAACTGTTTTCAACATCAGATCGAGTTCTTTCAAACCCTGAATGAATTAATAATAATTAATTCCCTAAAATTAAGTAATCAAAGACATTACAACAGGAATAAATTATTTACAGTATATTAAAATAGAACACAGTTTTAAATTTCAGTAATATTTCACTGATCAAATAAATTCTTCCTTGGTGAGCCTAAGAGACTTCCTTCTAAAACATCAAACAATTTTCCAAACTCTGATAGTAGTGACCATAATATCCTGTCATCAGTCTATCATGAGATAATCAACTAAGTATTTATATAGTGGTATTGTAACTTATACCTCTAACAATAAGAATGATTCGTCTGACATCAGCCGGGGCTGCAGAATTCTTCACCACGTATGTGCCCTCATCCTCCTCGCCCACATCCTCCAGGATCAAATGGCTGATGTGAACGTTCAGTTTGGCTCTTGAGTCCAGAATTTTCCCGTCTCGCAGGAGAATCCGCTCTAACACCGGATCCACCCTCGGCTTGAACAACACCTCTGTTGTGTCTAAAGCCGGCACTGGAATATGAACGTCCTCTCCAAAGAAAGCAGTGCGGTGTTCATCTTTAGCTGCAGAGTGAGGAAAAAGACAGATCCTTTATGTGTGGGAAAAGTAAGCTAATATAATTCACTTATTGACTACAGAAAACTGAAAAACATACATTTGAAAAAATACAATATATACAATATATACAATATATATAAAATATAGACTAGCTGTACTTAGTAAGTTACTTTGTACACTTTTAAGAAAGTTTTAAAAAAGAAAAAAGAAAAAAAGAAGGTTCCTAAAAGATCCTTTCAGTGGACAGTTTTTAAAAGAATCTTTTTTTGTGTGTGTGAAGAACATTTTAAAAATCCAATATTTTTCCACTATAAAGAACCTTTTGTGAAATGGAAAGGTTCCATGGTTCTTAACAGAACCACAGATGCCAATAAAGATTCTTTATTTTAAAAAAATGTTTCTAATAATGTAAAAATTATTATTATAATTTAAGAAACGTTACCTTTAATGGTTGATGACCAAACTGTAAAAAACAATGAAATGGGTAAATACAAGTACAATAAAGGCAAACAAAACATTTCAAATCCAAATATCTAGGTGTTGTCTTCATTAATACAGGCTACAATACACATAAATACACTAAATTGAAGTAGAACAACACAAATCCCTGAGTGACTCTTATTGAAATTATTCCTTGAACCTCTTGAATTCACTGTGGTTGACAAAATGATGTGAGTTGAAAAGTATATTTATTATTATCTTTTCCAATCAGTGATGCAGCATTGGTTTAATTAATTTGGGATTTATAATATTAGATAATACCAACGTTAAGAAAAATCTGTAACAGTAAATGCTATTCAACATATGTGACCTTAAGTCTTAAGTCACTGGGGTATATTTGTAGCAATAGCCAAAAAAACATTGTATGGGTCAAAATTATCGATTTTTCTTTTATGCCAAAAATCATTAGGATATTAAGTAAAGATCATGTTCCATGAAAATATTTTGTAAATTTCTTACTGTAAATATATCAAAACTTAATTTTTGATTAGTAATATGCATTGCTAAGAACTTCATTTGGACAACTTTAAAGGCGATTTTCTCAATATTTTGATTTTTTTTTGCACCCTCAGATTCCAGATATTCAAATAGTTGTATCTCGGCCAAATATTGTCCTATCATAACAAACCATACATCAATGGAAAGCTTATGTATTATTTTTTTTAAATTGACCCTTATGACTGGTTTTGTGGTCCAGGGTCACATATACTGTTCAGAATGCCACTGGCAATGTGAGAATGTGTTTTTGCTCAAGTGACAGATCACATTTCTATTAGATCAAATTTAGCTTGTCTATATGACTGCTGCAAAATTGCAAAGGATTTGCCCTTATAGCTCTAACCAACTGAATCCCCTTTGGACTTTGGAATCAGCAGTTATGAAAGATAAAGAAGAATAACAATGAGACAAATCGCTCTCTTTTTATTTATATGTATATATACTCGAACACAAAGGAGCATTTCCTGCTTGGTCTGAATACACAGGCCCTAAAAATATATGCCTTTTTGCTGACAACAAAAATACACCTAAGAGTTAATAGTGAATGAGTTTTATCGGGTGAACGAGTGTGCAGGTTTTCCTTCTCTGCAGCACTAACAATATGAAAGGACTATTAGGAATGCTGCCATGTCAAACTGCCAACTGTGCACTTTAAGTCCAACATCTTATGATAAATTATGCTGCAAATGTTGCCCTTGTGAAATAAAGCAATTTAGGAAACTATGCAAATGAAAAGCTATGTCTGCTATTTGTTAAACCAACATTATAGAAATGTGTTTTTCAAACAGTTACCTGAGCACAGGAGGGTGCTAATGACTGCCACACATCTGATGCCCATTTTAGCTATGGATATCTGTGTGGAAAAAATGCAAGTGTGAACAGTAAAACACAACATGAACCATCAAAACTCCTATCTGGGAAGATATATGAACACTTAGTAACTAATATGACATAAAATACACCATTTTTTATTAATTTAAAGGGGTCATATGATGCGATTTCAAGTTTTCCTTTCTCTTTGGAGTGTTACAAGCTGATTGTGCATAGATAAGATCCCTGAAGTTGCGGCATAGAGGACCTACAATAATGTACAGTATTTGAAAAATAATGTGTTTTTTGAACATTAAAGCATGTCAACATATTCTGTTACACCAAATACACAATATAATGATCTTTAAAAAAGCATCATATGACCCCTTTAATAAATATGCTCAGTGAATTAGAATGATGGTCTGCATTTAAATTGAAATCAAATTTTATGAATTCATAGCCTACAAGACAAGACTTGAAAGAGTAAAATAGGATAGTTATCTAACTGAAAGCCTAATCCTGAATCATTAATGCCAAATGAATCCTCCCATGCACATGAAAAGAGACCAAATATTGACAGTCTGATCTACAGTGTCTCTACAGATACTGTAGATCTGATAAAGGGAGGTAATTGGATGTCTGTAATGGACACTAACCATAATGCCATGACATCCGGTTTCTGGCAGGACGGCTTGCCCAGACCATGCAGGCTGAAGGCAGCTGACCGTGCCATTTCTGCCAAAACCCCAAGAAATTCAGAGCTCAAATCTGTCTCTGTCCCTCCCTTTAAAAAGGTTTAAGCTTGACCTTTTACAGACATCTCAACTGACAGGTTGAGGCCAATATTTTTCGAATATAAAAGTGTTCACCAAAAACATCATTTCAGTAACTAGAAAGTTTATTTTTTGCTAACGCATTTATTGTGGCAAAATCCTTCAAGGGAGGGAGAGAGAAAG